AACCCTAAACCCCTAAACCTTAATCCAAGTGTCTTGTAGAGCCCAAAGAAGCGGCCCTCGGCCAAGCGGATGAAGCGCACAAAGCGGAAGACGCGCACCGTCGACGCGAACTGAACCTTGGTCTCTCTGAAAGCTGAAGGGTATGTTGAGGGATACTCGAGGGTTGCTAAAAGGGGTGCTAGAAGGGGTTTTGTAAGGGCAGGGCTACGAATACTATAAGGGTTGACTGCAAAAATTTCTGTGAGGTTTGCTCTTCGGCTTTTCGGTTGAGGGTGCGTCTGGCCTGTATGACTCGCATCGCAGCAATTGCAAAAACAAGACGAGAAACCCGTTCTCGGTAGGTGATCACGGACACGGCCACATCAAGCCAGCTAATCACCACCAAGGAGTAGTCCAAGAGGTTCAAGAACTCCTCGCAAGACTCTGCGCGCTGCCCTCAGCACACTCGGGTAGAACCTGAGGCCCCGCGATCATCGAGCAAATCTAAACTAGACCCTGAATCATGCATCTCCGCTGGAGCACCTGGAATGGTACGGATCCATGCCTCCGAGCGCTGACAGCACACTGTCCCGGCCAGCAGTTCGGACTTGCGGACTTGACTGGGCATGTAGACATTGCGGCATTGGGGGCTTGCCTGGACACGTCTATCTAAGCCGAAAGTCACAGCGCTGAAGATCGTGGAAGAAGGACCGCCGAACGACTTGAACTGAAACAGGCATGCGTTGACAGCGCTATCCCTGACTTTCTCGAACTTCACACTGTCCTGGAAGAAAGCCCAGTGTTGCTGCTGGATTCTCAGCGCCAGCTCCGCCGTGAAGAGGAGACAGAAAAGCCCCTCCAGAAACACAAAGCCTGCAGACGGCAGAAAGATTCTGCACTCTGTGACGGCAAAAGTCAATAACAGACGCCAAGACAGCGACGACCACTGCAACCAGCTAGCCTTTCCTACTCTGAGCAGAAACAGATGCAGGAGACACCAGGCATGTGAGCACCATCATCATTGCTATTGCTATTAACGTCTTGCCCGACGTTTTCACATTGCCAAATTTCCATCCTGTCATCCTTCATATTCATCACCATGACCATCACCAACATCCACAACCATCTGATGGCCGTCTCTTATCGCATGATTCATATCGCACATACTATGAGTCTAAACATGATTGAGGCGAGGTGCCAAGGCGATCCCAAGCCAGCACTTCGATAGCAAAGTCTACCTCAATGCCGACCAACACCGTGTTCACGACCACCATGGTCCTGGGCGGTTTGGAAGACCTGCAGAATACACAGGCCTGCCAAAGTAGGGCGAGGGCGAGATATGCAAACTCGAAGCCAAAGCGTTTAAGTCAGGCCGCATGATCAGCGTGTTGAAGCACTTGGTACTGGCTATGTGCCTTGGCTGTGACGCCCGTTCGGAGACAGAGTTGAGAGCATGTTCTCGGATCAAGCTCTGAAGCCGATCTCAGATGTACAAACAGAAAACCCGTCATGACATGCTTGGCACCGTATTGACAAGATCGGCAAGAACGAAACAGAAAAAGCTGTCAGACACAGCACGGAAAAGCCCGACGAAGAAACGCTCAACAAAATCCCAAGACTCCAAGCAGCTCGTTTTGCCAAAGCCTGAAACTCAAGGTCACCTTTAAAGCAAGGATGCTGCTCCCGGCGCTCGAAGCTGCTTCGAAACTCTGCATTGAAAAGCCTTGTGGGGTTTCAGGGTTTTGGTGTTTGGGTTTGGGGTCCGGAGCTGAGCCATTTCTAGCATCACAGACTTCTTAGGTGCAACAACTGGTTGTGAGCTTGCACGGTCTGGATTTGCGTGATGCCCTGTCCGATCTGCGCACTGTCGAGTTCAGCCAAGTGCCCACGGCTGCTTTTTTCCAAGACTACTGACTGCCCATTCAACCACGGACAGCTTGTCTTCATGACCAGCGCGAACTCGTGTTCACGGCAATCGAGGACCAAGAACGTCGATGTCGGACCACACGACACCTCTTGCTTTGAAGATCCTGACCAAGCAGCTTCCACACGGACGGGAAGCCAGGTGGCTCCTCTCTCGCCTGAAACCAAGTTGTCAGACACCGCTACATCATAAACCTTGTCCCATGGCGGCGGTAAGAGTATGCGGAACAGCATGCACTTGAACTTGAAAAAGATATGCACGTGACATAGATAAAGCTATGCATAGTGTTATGCTTACACCGCGGGATTGGTGGACGAATAAGCCGATGCATAGACCAGACAAAAGTTTGGTGTGTGCGCAGATGCATCTAGGAAGACTGTGTCGCGGCACGTCTCCGCGTATCTAGCTTTATAGCCACACCTACACAAGTTCTGTTATACATGGCATATTCGGCCATTGACTTCTGATACAGCAGATCTCAGGGGTCTGGGTCAGGATACACCAGGACACACCGTCCGCCACCTCTGCAACAATGACCTCTTTCAGCAGCGCCTGAGCTCAATCCCAATGGTTTCCAGCAAGGTTTGAGGTTTGGGACTCTGGCGTTTAGAGCCCAGAGACCCTTATTTCTAGAACCCAGCCGCCTGCCAGTCTCGCGCGCGCTTCTGCCATGTCGGCATAAGGTCGAAGCGAGCGTGCCATGCACAGAAGAGTGTAAGGGATTAACCGGGCTGCTGTTCACTCCGGGCGGTTCACTCCGGGCAGAGCAGACTTCAAGCTGTGCAGATGAAAGGATCTTGGCAAAAGTTAAACGGGGTTTCTGGACTTTGATCGGCTTCCTACAGGTGCTCAAGGGGTATCATCTCGGAGCCAGCACGGCGAACGACCCAGAACTGCTTGAATCAAGCGCAGCATCACGGCAAAAGCATGAAGCCATCACAGAAGTTGAAATGGAACTCGCGTACTCTCCGGAGCTGTAAACACCCGACCCATTCTGCCTGAGATCAGGATAGCATCGGGGCGCGGCTCCCCCTGGCCAGGAGCACTCCACTTCCTGCCATCCCTTACCCCTGACGTCCTCGTTTGAAAGGCACGGCAGGCCGTCAAGTCGCCCCCAGAAGAAGCTGAACCCCAAGTCGAGACGTCGTCTCGCAACTTCAACCTGAAATCGGCTCAGCGCTGAAGTTGCAGTGAGGATTGAGCCTTCTCCTCCAACTCCTCTTTCTTCGCGACCTTCTTGACCACACCTTGTGCAGTGGGGGCTATAGCACTTGTGTCGTGCATGGCAAGCTGTTGCTTGATACAGAACTCGGGCTGGCTTTGATGAGATGTCTCCGGGAATCCACAGTCTGAGCGTGACCCAGCTGCTAACATCCATCCTTCCGGCACCTACATAGTAGCAGAGATGACACAACAGCAACAAGGCCACGGCTTACGATCCCCTCGTCTTCGATGAGATCCCCGTAGTCTGGAACGCTGCGCTGCACCTCCGAGTGCCAACACAGAGAGGCCTGGGTCTGGGCCTGGAGGGCCCCAAACCGAGACGAAAGCGAAAGCGAAGCACTTTAAGGTTTAGGGTTTTGGGATTTTTTTTGAGGACCTTTTTCCTGGGCAATGTCCAAGAGAGCCCGTTTGGGCAGGTCTTTGGGGTAGAGGCTGTGTGGGTTTAGGATTTAGGGCTCAGGGTTTAGGGTTTAGGGGAACATGATACCCCGATCCGGCGAGGGCCTCTTGCTTGGCTTCCACGGGCAGAGCCTCCTGCCGGAGGTTGCAGCCCTTCTTTCACCAAGGCTTGCATGGCCTTTCTTATGGCCCGAAGTACAAGACTGGCCTGAAAGACACAGGACCTGCACCAGCAAATGCCTAACACAACAGGTATCCAAACCTCGACTCCCTTTCCCACTTTGTGTCCTCTTCCCCACCAAAGTCAGGCTGATCCTCCTGGGGGCATTTCGATGTGAGGCCACGCTCACCAGCCCGCGTAGGTAGGCCCTTTGTCCTTGTTCACATCGGCGTCTGCATCCTGCGCAGGGGCTCTAAGCTTGACGAAGTTCGGTGTACTGTGGCGTGTAGACTGGGGTGCAGGTCAAGGCCGGGCAGAGGAAGGAGGCTTGGGGTTCGGTACTGTTGTGACTGTCGTCTGGACCTAACGCTGAATGGTTTCGGGATGCTTGTGTACATTTACGGTACTTGTCACAGAGCAACAGCGAGATGCCAGAGCAGCCGACAAGTGGAAAAAAAATGTCGAAGTGGTATCCTTCGAGTTGACACTTAAAGCCATTCCAATAAAAGGCGCTTGTAGTGACAGACTTGATGCTACAGCAGAAGCCCAGAAAAAACAAGAACGATATTCTTTCAGACGAACCTGAATTAGTGCAGCGAGTACTGCAGCCCTCAACAACTGCAGACAAGAGCTATAAGCATTCTACAACAGACCACACGTATAGTTCCTGTATTCTAGCTGCTATAACATACCAAACCTCGGAAAACAACACTTCAATCATATCAGCCTCGACTTGCTCTGCTTTCACTTCCGCCGGCGCGCTCTGGGCAAGAGGCGAAGCTTTTGGAGCTCTGGGAGAAGGCTCTCTTCAGAGCGTTGAGGAACCAGGCAAGGCTTCGGAGGTGGGGGGTTTAGTGGTTTAGGGTTCACGGTTTAAGGTGCTCGTTCAAGGTGGCGATTGTCTTCAAACCTGCTGTGATTCGTCGAGCCTTCTTGGGGGGGACTCGAAGGACGAGCCTCTCCTGAAATATTCTGGCCGACTCTCTGCCACCCCCTCCCGCTTGCACCAAAAAAAAGCTGGGGAAGCTGCATCTGGTGGTGTCAGCAAGAAAAGTTTTACAGGACTTTCAAAACATGGCTGTCAGCGTTCTCTGTGTGTGCCCTGCCATTGGCGGAGACATGCGGAGACAGTTGGGCCAACCACGACCGTTGTTACAGATTGGACTACCGCTTGTGCCAATAGAGATGTTCCCGCGTTTCAGTCGCTGCTTTGATGAGAAGACACGAAACAAAAAAGAACATCGACAAATGGGCTCCGATGATGTAGCACCGCTGCTGGGGGTGCAACCACTGGAGGGGGGCGGCTGCCCGCCGCCGGCATGGCTTTGCAGTTCTCAGCCGAGCCTGATTACCTTATGCCCGGAGCATCAACATGCTAGCTCAAACCCTAGGAACACTGCAAGCGTCAACGGGATTTGATCACAGCCTCCAATCGCTTACTATCAATGAAGGACGTGACTGAGGCTGCTAGGTTCCAAAACTCATGATCATGACAAGTGTCCCAGTAATGAGAATGTGAGTTGCTGACAGACCTACCATCGTAGCTGGCGTAGGCTGTTCCTTCTCCTGCCATGTCTGTGCTGCTGGAAGTGCTGCAGGCATGATGATTTCGCAGACTCTACTGGTATGTTGTGCAGAACCCCTCCCCCGCCTTCCGAAGTCCTATTATGCTGCTCTCCCCAGATGGTGTGTATTGACTCTCGCTCGGCGAGGCGTTAGTGCCGGTATCACTGCTGTCTTTACTAACCACATCGTCGTCATCAGTATCATGAGCAGCAGTCTCAGTATACTACAATTCGTATCTTCGCATTCCCATGCATGGGTTCCAGTTCCAGTGCAGTCGTAGTCGCAGTCGTAGTCGTGGTCGTAGTCGTGGTCTCAGTCGTCGCAGCGGCAGCAGGAGCAGTAGTAGCAGCAGGAGCAGGAGTAGGAGCAGGAGCAGTAGGAGTAGTAGTCCCAAGCCTTAAACCCTAAAGCGATGAGGAGCGGCTGCTGCAGCAATGCTGTTGCTGCGTTTGCTAAATCTCGCATTGCGGCGATCTGCTTTAAAGTTAAACCTTTCCCTCGGGAGCGACTCTTAGAGTCAGCTCCTAGAGTGGCCAGTGGCACCTCAGATGCCCCTGCCCATTTTTGTTCCTGGCTGCCCGTGCTGAAGGATGTCATATGACAAGACAAGGAAGTAGACTGTCCACTATAATGACAATGATAAGGAATACAGATATCACCAGTTGGGAAGCCTTGCTGCGATTTAAAACTCTTCTGTACAGTTAGCTGCCAGCCCACTTCAGGAGGCTGACCTTGGCCCGCTTAGCATCGTCGCACTGGTCATGCGACTTTCTTGCAGAAGATGCTTTGCGGTGACTTCCCTCCCAGCCAAGTGCTGCCTAGATGACCTCGTTGTGCGCAAGGTTTATCGTCAAGAGTGCTCTGCAAAGCATTCTCGGCAGGCTCACCTGTCTACAGCAGTCTACAGCTCTGTTGGCTCTTGCAGGAAATGCACCGTGTCAGTCTCCAGGATCAACGGAGGACCCATACCCATACGTTGTGGCCGGAGTGCCGGGCGACGTTGGCTCTTGGTCCTAAGGTCCAACTCCGGCGACTGAGGAACAATGAGCGAGTTCTTTTCTTTTGCTGGTTGAGTCCAGCATACTACCACATTTTTCGTCACGACTGCTTGTACTCTCTGAGTTAGTCTCACGTCTTGCTTGTAAGGTTTATCTTGCAAACCGCACTGCAGCTCAGAAACACAACCAAACTGTTCCATGAACAAACAACCCACACTGCCGCTAACAACCCAACACCCCAAAGCTTTGACCACGCACAAAATTTCTTCAAGTGCATCCCGATGGACGCAGCCATAGCCGCAGGTTCTGTCTCCGAAGCCTTCCACTTGAGTGGAACCAGCTTGAACATTCGAGAGGCGCCGTCTGGATCCAGGGTCACCTCGCAGCATCTCGCATCTGGGAACAAAAGCTCATGAACATCTAGGTCTAGACTGCTTGCCCATGCCATTGCAGGAGTCCCAAACCGAGTGCCCGCTTAACCCGAGCATGCTGCCGAATTCCAGCCTGAATCGACTTTCGGACGCCCAACTCTTGCTTACTCCAGAGGTCTCTCACCGACGCGTCCTCGAAGAAGTCGCAGCTCTTGCTGCTGGGGCTTGACCAACAAACATCGTAGACCTTGAAGTCGACTTTCGCGGGCTGAAATCTATCCAGATTCAACAGGACCTGAGCTTTGGAAAAATCTCCCGCCCTTTGTCGCGGGGAAGTGTCGCGGGGTAGCGAAGTCGCTCAGGCATGCCCTTTAGTGTACAGTAGGGAGTGGTCGGTCGGATGAGATAAGCATGACAATGTCTCTCACCATGAACGAGGACCATTCAGGATATCCTCGCTTTTCGTCTATTCAAAGATGTATGTGAAAATGATTCAGGGCATGTCATAGCAGCAAGGGTGCTGTTGAGAAATCAAAACAGTGTTGTTGAGAAACCACAGCCTTCAAACCCAAAAAGAAACGTCACATCGTATTGATCAGGCAACTAGGGCGAATCCATCTCGAACGGGTTTGGCCCAAGCCTGCTGGCAATACGGTATCTCGTCATAATACTGATTCTGATGAACATCTGCACGTTTGCGCAAGGGACAGTTTTCCCAGACGATCTGGCCCTGAATGCCCAAAGGATCCTGGTCAACTGCGATCACTTCAGCGTTGGTGTAGGTTTCCAGATCATGGGAGCTCATCGACAACATACTTGATCCCAGCAATAGGGGAGCGGCCATCACGGACCACAAAGAGAACTGTGTCCGTGATTGTTGTGGGGTCATTTTCACGGCAGCTCCAGGAGATGAGCCCACCAACATGTCGGGATCATTCCATCCCCCGGGACCTCCGTACTCGGACAAGAAAGCATTCACACGGATCGCATAGTTCCATGCACTCCGCCAGTCTCGGACATCGTAGCCAATCCTCCAAGAGTTGGCTAAGCTCTTGCCATAGGGACTATACCAGTTGTGCCAGCCCGACAGGGCCAAGAAGACCTTCCGCCCGGTCTTGTTCAGGGCATCACGGAAGAGCTCATACTGGCCGATTGCTTCGGGTGATGGTGGGTCCTCAAGAGAGTCGGGGCCGAAGCAAGAGTCCGTCTTCACATAATCCACACCCCAGGACACGAAGGTCTGAGCATCGGTGACTTCATAACCCGAACCTCCGGGACGACCGGCACAGGTCCAACGACCCCGATCTGTGTAAATGCCAAACTTCAAACCTTTGTCATGGACGTAGTCTGCAACATTCTTCATGCCATGCGGAAATGCTTTTTCATAAGGCACCAGTATCCCATCTTCTCCTCGCCGATGTGCCCAGCAGTCATCGATCACCAAATATTCATATCCCAAAGCCGGTAATCCTAGGTCCACCATCTTATCAGCTACCTTGGTGATGTTCTCTTCTGAGACACCTTCACATTCGAAGTCGTTCCAGGTGTTGTAGCCCATCTGTGGGGTGTTTCCCAGTCCATTGTCCAGTCCATGAACAGAGAAGAACACCCCGGACAAGCTTGCAAGGAGTCTCATTATGGAGCGGTTCAGTTGCTGACTACCATTTGCTGAAAAGCCCGAGACATTGGTCCATTAAGCAGTATCACAGAACACTCACCTCAAGGTGCTGCTTCATGAGACCTGGCACTAGACGTCAAAGAGGAGTGTGTCCTGACGACAAAAACAAAGTAAAGCACTTCTTAGCGCCGTTCATCACCCGACAAAGTCTGTTCAGTCTAACAAACGAACGACGGACAATCCAAGAGAAACAGAAAGGAGACAGGCAACAACATAGGCAGCAACTGACGACGACAGAGACAGCGACAACGACTCAGATCGGCCCTTTTCCGAACGGACCATCTTGGAGCGTCTCTGTCTGCCAGTTGCAAAGTGATGCGGGAGCTGTTCAATTCGGTCAGCTCTTCTGGAGTCCTAAAGCAAAGTTGAAAACTAACAAAACTACCCAGATCTAGGTAACGGAATGCGACAGCTGAACAACTTCCTTGTAGTTGCACGGTGACATACGGTGACAGTCTGGCTCGCCGCAGACTGGGCGAAGGAGAAGACTCAGATTAGCACTCAGTGGGCCGAGGCTCGCCAGCTCATGCTACTTACTGCCGTTTAGGGCTGAGGGTGAAGGATTTCGGGCTTAAAGTTTAATAAGGTTCAGGGATCCGCGCACTTTGCGGATTGATAGATCAAGGAAATTGGGAATGGACCGGTTGAAGTAGGTTTGAGGCATTGCTGCACCTTCTTTACAAGTCCTCTCCACCTCTTGAACTACAACACGTGAGATCCAGAGTGCATGGCCAAGCTCACTAGCTGCAAAGGGGCTGAGCCTGAGGATGGGATCATTCCTGAGAGGGTGGGCTGAGGATAGAAGTTCAGAAGTGCATCTTGCTTCATTCAATTCAGGCTTGGAAACTCTTGCTTCTGGGCTGAAGACCCTGCGCTGCAATCGATGGGTCTAGTTGTGAACTGGGCACAAGCTGCTGATGCGCCGTGATTTGCTCCGGAGATCCGGAGATCGATGTTGAAAGATGCAGCGCAATGAAAAGGAGAAGCAAAATGGCATCCGAAACTCTGAAGCCCTGAAGCCTGATCCGTCTTCGCATGAAGCACGCAGCCATCTTCTGAGCAAGCCGGGTCTGCGGCCCCGGTGGCCATGCTCCTGGAGAAGGGGCCGGCAAGCTGAGCAGGCCATTGGTCCCTAGGTAGGATGGTCTGAAAAAGTCGTTTAAGAAAATGTACGAAAAGAATGATGAAACATTACATAACATAGCATAACATGAAGTATAACACAACAAAGCAGAATATGAAATGATATATGATATAGCATGGTAAAACAAAAATGACATAATATGATATAGAACAATAGAATATGGTACAATATGATATGATATGACATAACAGAACAAGATAAGAAGATCGTATGTCTTATCATATCATATGATACAATATCATGTAATATGATATATTACAGCATAATACAAAACATAAAAGAGAATAGAACAGAATGTAATATGATGCAATATAATACAATACAATAAAATATAGTACAATATATACTACAATATACTAGAATAGAATAGAATAGAATAGAATACAATATAATATGATCTTAGAGAATATATTGCAATGTAACACAGTGTAATATAATGTAATATAACACATATAATGTAATATAATGTAATGAAGCACAATATAATGATATGATGTTTTCTAATACAAGCTAATACATTATATGATATGCTATGATAAAATACGATAATTTATAAAAAAAAAA